AAAAAGTGACAAAATTGCAAAAACTGCAGACAAGTCACGGTCTGCTCTGAGGCTGTGACTGGGACTGTGCCTAGGTCTGACGCTGGGCCTGTGGCTGTTCGATTATTCATTGTCCTGACTACGGACGGATACATGCAATGCTGCTGCTGTTACTGCTACACAACTATGGATGAATGGATATGGGCATGAAGTCAAACTCTGAAGCGGAAATTGCACGGTTGTGCCGGTTTCTAACAAAGCTCCTACTTGTCGCGTGGGTAGGACGTTGCATGGGCAAATGAAATGCTAGCTTTATGACCCTAACCCGTGCCGATCATGTTGGCCCACAGGCAATTTGAGGGGGACAAAGACAGAGCAAAATGCAGTACAAGTTCTCAATGAAAGATACGTGTAACTTATAGATTTTGTAATCCAACAAATGGCAAAGCTTATCCCAAACGTTTCAAGGATAAGTGAAATGCCACACAAGCCACCAATTAGTGAGGCTGTTCTCATTCATAAAAGGGCAACATAAGTCATGAATTTCAATTGGGCCCCGAAAAGCCCTCCAAACTTTTACTCAATTTGCAGCCCCTAGCCCTGCGGGGCACGTTCAATATTTGAGTATGGCAAAGCATTTATAATTCAATTATGTTGATGTCTTAATAAGGGAAGAGAGGCAAGAATGAAAGAAGGAAAGCGTGGTATCCTTTTGCACTACCAATAGCCGGCGGAAGTTTATAATTACAGTCCTTAACTCGACGCCTGCAGGGCCAAACGGGGGCTACAGGGGCTACCTACAGGTGGGTGTAGTAAGAAACCCCCATCATCATCATCATCATTATTATCATCATCAGCGTCGTCATCGTCATCCGCCGGGGGCACATTTCGTGTCAATAACTTACAATTAGCAAATGGGAAGTGTGAGACGCAACCCAGTGCCCTGTGCCCTGACCTGTCCCTGTGCCCTGTGCCATGGTGTGGGCTATAACTAATAGATAATAATGACAAGACAACGTCAAGTGCCTGATGGCATTGTGGTTCAGTGGCCTCCACCTCAGTGGCAGCCAACAAAAATTACAGCTAGATGGATGAGGGAGTTCACTGAGCTACGGTTTGGTTCTGTTCCCTTGCATGCAATGTCTACTACGAGTACTATTCGTGCCAACAAATTATTTGTGCTAAAAATATTTCATCAACTTTAACTCTGACAAGTGCATGAAAATGTCCAATCATATTTTGGCCCAAAAGTGCCAGGCCACTGACTCTGACGGAATTAATAGTGCAGGAGCAAAGGCAGGCAAACAAAAGTTGATTATTTCTTGCTATTACTCAGCAGTTGGGTGTGGAGAGTACAATTTATGCAAGGAATAGTTTCTCCTGAAATGCAGCTTGTAAAGCCAAGAAGCTGTAGATTCCCAAAATAAACAAAGCATTAGCATAATTAAAGAAATTATTTTTCAGAGCAACTATTTTATTTTGAAACTTATTACATTTTACTACAACTATGAGATTTATTTGCCCATGAAACTCAGAGATTTAGCCTCGTTATTAGCACTCTAAAAAGCTCCACCGAAATCAGCTTAGATTTAACATTATGTGTTATTGCATTAAATTATAAAATATATTCAAATTCAAAATTTTTTCCATTTTTGTTATTTTTCAGACCATTTATAAGCACAGCTAATAATTTATCTAAAATCCAATAAGCTTCCCATCATACTCATATTATTCTTCCATATGCCCTGAGTGCACTCAATTATTTGATTTGATTTATTGACTCAATGAAAACTCGTATTTGCATGTAATATTAAGCACCTACCGCCACATGGAATTAAAAGGCATTAGCCTTATCGAAAAGCACTGTTTAAATATTGAAATCAAAGTACTATGACTACGCTGAGTACTCTTTAAATCTTAAAAAGTTTTTCCAAATTGAATTTTTTTCTTTTCATGCACCCAGCTCCACCACTCACTGCTCCACCACTTTTGACCATTTTCCAAGTTTCATATTGCCAATGAAATAAATTTAAGTGAAGCGAAAAGTTTTCTGTTTTTTTTCCCCCTTTTGGAAATCGAAACGTTTGCCTTATAAATGTGTGTGCGTAATGTGTGTAAGCGGTGAAGCATTAAAAGTTCAAAATTCTACTCAAATTTCATTAGAGATGCTTAGGCCAGAAACACACTAGAAAGTTTCTCGACATGCGATAGCAGCAATATCTCAGGCATCCCAAGGAGATTTATGTTATAGACAGATAAAAGACGCCCACGAACCGAAGTGTAGCAATGCCTTTTGTCAGGACATTGGCAGTGGGCGGGCTCGGGGACTTCAGCGCTTATATTTATAATCGCCGTCAACGCCATCAGGCACATAACATATTGAAATTGTCTCTCGTTTTGGCCTCAGAACCTGAGCGGCAGTTCAATGCACCAATGTTGCCTATGCAACGTGATTTTAAAATTCCCTTGCGTCCTCGGTCAAAGTTGAATGGTCAGTGGGCAGTGGTCGGCAAAAAGTAAAAAGTCAACGCTCAAAATGTATTTTAGCCAAGTGGTTAGCCTGGTAATTTAATTGCCAAATGCAAATCCAAAAGTCCAAGCAATCTCTTGCCAAAACTTTTCTTGCCAAAAAACAAACATCAACAATGTAAAATACAAGTCTGAAAAAACTCATTCTATAGGAATTCCCTTTCAGCAATTAGGCGTTGCTCCAGGTGTTGCTATTGCTCCCCCAAAAAAAGAGACAGACATCAGGGAATAAATAGTACAGTGAGCGGAAGGAAAGACAATCTTGTGGATTTTTTTTTTCCAGTTCAAGTTAAAGTTGGCAAAAATTGAAAGAAAATATCTTGAATTTGCATACAAAGTGAAATTTGTCACGTTTTTGGCAAGTGCCTGCAAATGGAGCATAGAAAGATGCCAATCCATGTCCCAAAAAGGGTTCACAAAGTATGTGAGGAACGTATTTTGATTGCCTCTAAAGACATTTCGGGGAAGTCCATTTTCTTGTTGAATGGCCAAAGGATATTTAGAGAGAATGTAAGATATTCTGGTAATTGTTTTATATATTAATTTCACTATTTTCGCTGTATTTCCTTATGTTTCCAGCTTTTTTGCTCTCAATTTTACCTCTTGAAATGTCATGTATCCTTATTGTGGCCCACATTTGCAATCAGTCAGCCACAAATACACAATCCGTGTATCCCCATCTGCATAGCCTTAATGAAGCAGCATTCACACACCCTTAACCGTGGCATCTACTCGTACGATATTGGCAATCAGCGACACGGCTCCTGGCCATAGTACAGAGTCTTGGCAGCATCCTATCCGCCATTTCATGCCAATTAGCATGTCTCGCTCTCTTGTAATTATGGGACAACATGTGGAGAGAGTCAATAATTGATTCTCGGTGGTGGAATTGTGTGGGTGACCTTTAACACATGTCCACAGCATTGGCACTGCCACTGCATAATTATCCGCATTGAGAGCAGTAAAGCAAACAAATTTTGAGTTCCCTTCACCAGTTCTGTGAACTAATACTGACGACCCTTCTAGCAGTTGATGCTGCAAAACTCAAGGAAGAGGTTTTGCCCTGCAAGCAGTTGAAGACCACAAGAAGTGAAGACTTTTATCCCCCACAGTACTGCTTTAACCACAGAATGAGTCGAAGCAGTAACCACAAATCGTAAACTGAAGTCGAGAGGACATGTGTGCGTGTCCTGATTAGCAGTGGCTACCAGTTTGAGGTTTTGCTTTCTTTGTTTTATTTTTGCACATGGCTGCACATTTCAAGCTGAATCAAAAACTTATATAAACATGACAACAATGCGGTGTAAAAAGTTAACGTAAGAGAGAATAAACTCGTAAATATGTTGAGGAAAATCAACATTTTGTGGCGTAAACTCAGATGAATAGAGAGTGAAGAAGCACTCCCATACCCTCCAAAATTCCTTCATCATTCTTTACCTTCATTAAATACCCTTTTAGCATTCATCAACTTCAATTAAATGCTTATAAATGATTACAGATAGATACTTGTGGCAACATCTATGTTTAATGAATGACAGAACTGGAGAGTGGACGAAGTAGAAGAAAACCAAATGAAATTAGTGTTACCACAGCTGACTGTCTGACTGACAGATTGCCTCTGGCCTTTTGGCCTTAACAGAGTAAAGAATTCTAGCAATGCCGATAAATTGCCACGAGGCAGACGAGGCCTTTTTAAAAATAGCTAACATGGATGGAGCCACCAGCACGTCCCAGTCTCCTTCCCCCTTCAGACACTTTGAGTAGTAAAAATGTTTGTTAGCTGTGTCTGGACATTGTCCAGAGGTTCAGGCCACAGTGGTGGACTGCTAGAGGGGCTTAAAATATCTAACGATTATAGCAGAACCTTATATACGGCAGAACCCTTAATTTTAGAAAAAAGTCAGTCAGGAAGGTGCTCAAATATCTTGTACAAAATAGTGTAAAGCTCAGCTGTGATTTATTTATGGCACCCCACCCCCTCCCCTTCTTCGGTCTACGCCACTGCATAGACCCATATGGCAGAGCCATAAAATTAATTCATTTCTTTTCGTTTAATTGAATTTTCTTGTATTGGGGAAAAGAACCCAACCAACTTGACTTTTTGACGAAACATTTTTCGTGTTATGTATCGAAAGGCACTTCGCAAGGCAATTCTCAAGAAAGGACATAAAAAGTGAACATATTTTTAGGAACTGGAAAATTGTTAATGGAAAAAATATAGAAGAGAAGTGTTTAATGTTATTTGAAGGATTTTACGAAATAAAGAACCCAATTTTTTAAATTTTTGACAAATTTAAAATGTAAGAAACTTTTCTTAGATCGAGCTTTATTAATTGTTAAAGATTTAGTCAAAGACCTAAAAAACGACAATACAAAAAACAGATGAAATACCATTAAAATTTTCAATAAAGTGCTGAGTTAAGCCGAAGAGCATTTGCCAGCCCTGCTTGAAGATTGAAGAGTATTTTAATCTCAACAAAGTAGTCGCCGACTTTTAAGGTTATTTTTATCATACTCCTTGCTGGAAATAAATTTTCATTGCATTTCAATTCAAGCTGTTTGTGAATAAACAAATCCCTTCTCTGAGTTGTATCAAAAATTTAAAAAAATGGGACTAAAGGTGAGAAAAAAAACAATTAAGAAGTGCACCACAGAGTTAAAAATACATGCGCAAAGGGCCATAAGTTCAAACAAAATTAATCTCCAACATTTTTCAATATTTTTATTACAGTCAAAACCGGACTTTAAGTTTCCTATGCACGATACGCATCTGCATAAATCGTTGCGTAACTTGAAAGTGGCCTGTGTCCTGGCACTGATTGCACCAGTTTGTCTCTACGTTTGCCATAATGCACCACGCAAGGCCAAGTACAAGACCTTCTATTCCCAATATGATCCGATGGATGCCTTTGAGCGCATGATGAATGGTGGCTATCTCAGCTCCTGTCCACCGGGTAGTGGTGGCAAGAAGTAAAAGAAGAGTAAATTACACAACTAAATTCTAAGAAAATCTACGTACACTATTTAGATATGGTTTTAAGCTTTTGATTCTAAGAAATTGTACACCCTAATAGACCTAAACACAAACTATTAGTACACTTTAATTACAAGAACACTAAATAAACTGTGAGAGCATTGTAAACAGATTTGAGTGGCCTTTTGAGTACATTCATTGGAGATTCCCCAAATACTTCATAACCCTCTGGAGATGCTCAAGCACTTTGATACACCCACCCCAATGGGACTGACTGACTGCCTCGTAAATCGTTGGCACAGATTTTCCTGCCTGCGTTCCTTCCTGCCAGTTGCTGTGGCTGGGGCATACCTTCAGGTGCTGTCAGGTGTGTTGCTGCCGCTGTCTGTTGTGGACGTCAGCTGACAGTTGGGTTAAGCTTGACATGGGACATGATGCGTGAGCGGAATTGGAAACAGTTTCTACACTAAGAAAAAAGAAACTGTGTCGAACTTTAGAGATATAAGTTTATTTTCTTTAGTTACTCTATTCAAGCAGTGACTTATAGTCCAGTGTAGTGTTTTGCTCATAAGTTATGTTCCATCAAATCTATCAGCTAATCTTTGTTGTCATTTAATACCCACTTGACAAGACATAAGTCCCTACAAATCAAACATATTTTGTGTTATAATTAACTTGTTTTAAACATCACTTTGCCTGATTATTATATTAAGAGTGGAAAGAGTGTAATTTCACACACATGTGACCTTCAATCGCCTGCCATCCTTGTCGCCATTTGATTTGTAATTTGTCAAAGATTTTGCTAGCGTAACGGGAAACTTATTTGTGGGCATCGAGCAGGATGTACTATATATATCTGGCAGAGCAGAAAACCTACGGTAAATGTTACCAAACATGTTAGATAAAAGGTTTCAAATCTAGCCACAAGCCCCACAACGAGAGAGCGAGAGACCACAACCAGCTGACAACCCATCGACAGCAGCAAACACTTTTAGTTTCTTTTTTGCGGTTAACATGAGGCTGCTACCACGCCTCCAAACAATGGAATAATGCAAGAAATGCATAAAATTGCAATAAACTTGAGCTGCATGCTAAGAAAAAGCAGTTCGCGGTCTTGGATTCGGAGGCAAACAAAAAGTATTTGGTGGCTAAGCCCCCGTGTCATTTAGCCAAAGTGCAGTGTCAGTGAAACGGTGAAATTTATTGCCAACCGCATTGAGTTCCACCCCCCGCCCACCCTGCCACTGACATTGTCAAGTTTTAAGACCCAAAGTGAAGATCTTCTTCTCAAGGATTGTTTTGTGCAGAGAGCCATAAGCGAGGCATGTCCCTAATTATCCACTCCAGAAAATATGCTCAACAAATTTTCATGCCTGGCTGGTGGCAGGCAAAACTTTTAGCATTTGAACTACCAAAAGCCGCTTAGCTGCTTGAGCTCTCACTTGAGCCCAAGTCAAGTCGGAGTCATGGCATGCCATGGCAGGCACCAAGGCAGTCCTTAAACAAACACCAGCCATGCCGAAAATGTCCAACTGCCAGTGCACTTTTCAAGCTGCATGTATATAGATCTACCTACACATAGCAGAGCTCCATTCACTCTCAAGCCTTCATGTAGAGCACAGGACGCCACTCAATGGACATCAGCGACCCACTCCCAGTGCTTGCAGTACTCCTGCATGGACCGGACTCACTACCGCAGCGGAGGAGACGTGCTCGGCTTGTTGAACACCTCAGAGTGTAGACCGCAAATGCTCGAAACTACTTCTTGACAGCGACAACAATAATAAACAGCAAAGCAGTTGGTAGAGGGTGCAGAAAGGGGGGTGTGTTGGTGTGCGCTCAAAGCGATTACTCGCATACCCTTTAAAGGTGGATCTACAAAGGAGGGTAAACCCTATGTAAGCAATCAAACTAAATTCTAAAAGAGTCAATCGATTTTAATAGCTATCATTTATCGATTATTTTTTTATGTTCGTTCGGCAAACAACTATTTTATGAGTTCCAAATTTTCAGTAACATTTTGTTTTTGAACATTCAACCTGGTCAATGTGGACTCGTCGTCTCCGACTAACCAATTTCGCTTACAAAAACGAAATTGTAATTTTTTTTATTCCAGAAACAAGCCTTATCGGTAATATACAAATAAATATTTATTTTCAGGAATTGATTCATTAATTGAATTTCTCGAATCCATCTTTAATTCCCACTTCTAATTAAAAATCTCTCTAAAACTCGATAAATATTTAAATTATCGATACAATTATCGATCGACTACAAGTTTAATGAATCTATCATCAGCCCTTCATATGTAGGGCCCACCATAAACACTAGGAGTACTCAACGAAATTTGTCTGGCCACTTCGCATCTTTACAGGGGTTCTAAAGGTGCCTGCCGCCTTCTTCTTTCTTCTTCCTTTGCCTATTGCTACTTTGCATGTTCTCTCAGAGCCACAGCTATAACGCCCCGCCTGCTCACGTAAACACAAATGTTTTCGCCCACGTCTTCCTGCTGGGCCAAAAAGTATGCCAGGCTACCGCTAGGGCCACTTTTTTCTTGTGTTGTACAAAAGCAAGACAACATTTTTTATTACCATCCGAGGGTCCTAGACAAATGGCCATGTTAAGCACTGTGTTTGCACAGCACTTTTTTTTCTTTTTTGCATATTTTTGTTGTATTTTTATAGAACCTCCTGCCCTGAGTTGAGGTGTAATTTTAGTGGCATGTTTTTGCTGGCCTGACCTGGACCCTTTTGCTACCCATCGATGGGGAATGTAGTGAAGAATGTTTCACCAAGTTATATTTAATTTGCCAGGCGTGTGGCATTATTTTGCGATGTTTTTTCTCAGTAGTCAGAGTGTTTATTCTTTAGTTCGGGATTTATTCCACAACTGTTGCTCGTTTGCGATTGCTTTTTGGCGTGGACTTTTGATTGCTAATTCGCTGGGCAACCCTGTTTACGACTCTCTGTGCAGATCCTTCAACCGATTGGGACGACTGTCTTCTATGTATCTGCAGTCATAAAGTGGTACCAATGCGCATGTTTTATGCTTTGGATACTTTTTTACGAGTGCCTCTGGCTATGTAGGCGAGTTTCCTAGTCAGCCCAGAGGGGGTCTCCTTCCGGAAGTAAATGCATAATTGCTACTTAGAATGTCTTCGATTTACACAGCTCATTTAACTCTTGTTGTAACTGTGTAGCTGCAAAAGTTTGACAAATTGCATGGAGGAGACCTCTGACGTCTGCCGTCGCCTCCTCCACCGTAATCATGGTCCAATTGGTCGCCTTCCAGCCAGGGCACCCGACAGCCGTTGCTACAATAAATCAAGCTGGCAAAAAGGATTTGTGCACCGACTTGGACTTGATGCATTTAATGGGTCAGGCCAAAGAGGGGACGAGGCAGGGGGCTGGGCCTGGGTTCATTTTGGCAAATTGCAGTTTGGCAGCTTGAAAGTTTGCCCAATCCGCTTACACGTCACGAAAGCCAGACCAAGCGCCAAAAATGGGTAGACAACATTTTGCATTACTCTTGATATTTATGAGGCCGGCAGGCAGCAAGCAACTCAAAGGAGTCATTGATTTATTTGCGGAAAATCGTTTATTAAAGAACCCACCCAGACCCCCATGCCTAAAGAATGAATCCACAAAATGCTGATGAGTGGGAACACCACCCTGACAATTTGCACAATTGAACAATTTTGATTGAGACGTACAGCAGGGAAGAGTCGAGGCAGCGTAGAGTCGAGTCAGGGTAGAGTTAAGGCAGTATAGAGTCGCTGCGAATGTTGCACATTGCATGTTGCACAATTCGATTGGCACATTTGTCAGCCCATAAGTAGGTTGAACCAATGTGGAGTCGTTGGAGCAAAAGAAGTTGCAATTGTTAAGGATTTCAGAGAAATTGGGCAGCACTTTATTATTGTTGGATTAAAAGGGAAGAAATTTGTGCATCTCTGTCCCTCTTTACTCCCCCAACTCTCTCCCAATGAAACTTTCTGCCTTGGGTTAGCTCAAGGTGAAGATAAACAGCATGGAAATACATGATATGTATAAAACGAGTTGGAACGTTTGTAAGACGCTTCGAACGCTTCACAACCTGTATACCGTACTCATTCATATCTGTACCTTTAAGTGAGTTTTGGACATTTTACATATTTTCTACATCTGTCATCTACATCAATTATCCCTAAGATCTGCAACCTTTCTGATTGTAGCACTGCATTAAGAAAAGATCAAACCCCAAGAAGAGCCTTGAACAAGTGTCAATCTAAGTTCTAATGGAAACAAAACATATTTATTGATAAATGATTTCAATATTAAAATATTTACAAATCATAAATCTAAAACGTTGTAAATGGGTTTACATATTTCCTTAACTCTTTAAGCCACGTTACCTTCTGCCCAAGTGAATTCCGTGAATTGGTGGCACTCCACACTCCACACCACAAAAAGGCTTCCAATTACAATAATCCCCCAAGGTAACCTTGGCAACCCCTTTTAGGAAGAGGTAGGACCAAGGAATATTCATTCATTAGCACACAAACACCTGCCACAGCGCCGACCGAGACACTGACCCAGAGCCAGACCCCACCACAGTCACAGACCTCTGAGTGAGTGTGCATGGCCGTGTACGTGGGCCACAGTGGCTTGATTAATTAAGTAATGGAGTAGCAGGGGTTCCTCCGTCCTTCCACACACACAAAAGTTGAATAAACCAATTCTGAGAGGAGCACGAAAAGTTTTGCACATTGTTTCTTATGGGCACAAAAAAACCACCTTAACCTCCTCGAAAGACGAGTATTCCCTTTGTTTTGCCATCAGTTTCGCTTTTGGCCAGACAACTTTGAGGATTTCGTGTCGCTACGTTTTGGTTGTCAACTGATTAATATGCGAGAATCGGTTAAGGATACAGATAAATCAGCGCCAGCATCATCAAGATTAAAGTTTCTGAATCGCTTTTGGGTTTTTGCGACTCATTTTCAGAGAGTAAACAAGAGCTCCCGTCCGACTAATTGCCCAACATTTAGCAGGCACTCAGAGCACGGTGGGAATTTGCAAGGAAAATTGTAGGGGGAAATTGTAGGGAAATTCGGTGGTTTCACCTACCCCCTCAAGGAAGGTGCAGTGGGCTGCTAATCCTGGTGTCATTCTGCTTTGTGTTGCTGTGTTTTCA